TAACCATGCAAAAAACGCATCTTCGCACGGGCGGCCCGTGCGTTGGCCAATTATTTTAGCATTCCGCTGTTTTATCTGACTAACCTTCACCCACCTTTAACTAGTTGGTAGCCTTCGTCCACCTTTAACCGGTTGAACTGATAATATTCCCAGAGAATGAGATGAATGTCAGGGCAACCGGTCAGGGTGCTTATCTGAACATTCCTCCACCTTTTTCAGCCTGGTTGATCTTTTTCATTTTTCTTTTATCTGACTAGCATTTTCGACACTTGTGTGGCTCGTATTATTCGACCGCGCCTTGGCCAGCTATTGTTCATCCACTTTGTCCCACCTGAGCTGGCATGACCTCTTGTCCGCTAGCGCCCCTCGACTTTCCTCTTTTTTCGCTGCACTTCACAATCCTGGCCAGTCAAGCGGTTGTGGCATATCGAAATTTTATTTGTTGTCTGGATGATTTTTTTTAGTTTCTTCTTTTTTAGTTTCTTCTTTTTAGTTTCTTGGCTAGCAAATTTGTTTCCAACACATTTAATTTCTGTTGCTTACTTAATTCTTTACTGCTTGCTTTGATTAATAACGGCGCACCTTGCTAGTCGCTAAATGGTACCCGTATCGGAGTTAACGATCACTCATTCAGCAAGCCTGTAAGGAGTTGGCGCACATACAACGAACAGATGGTGAGTGCTGATTAGAGGCTGCATCCCCTCAGCATGTTGAGGTTGCACCCCAGTAACTCACGAACAACGAATTCGTACACCACTGGCATCCGAGGTTTTAGCTGAAGCTCCACATCGGTTATTGGGAGCCGTGTTGCAAATCCGAGTAACGCTGAATATGGATTGTACTGTGTTTGGCCTGAACAGACCTTTCTGAAGTTTTTCAGTTCCTTTATTTTCATACGTTTTCAGTTCCTTTATTTTCATACGTTTTCAGTTCCTTTATTTTCATCAACTTTTTTTACAGCACGTACAACAGAGAAAGGACACGCTGCAATTACGTGGCGTCAAAAAGCACTTGCGTTTTTTCGGGACTTAAACGCTAAGTCCACGCATTAGGATTAGAAAAAAGATCTACAATTGCCTGAGATGCCTGGA